CCAGGCTGGCCAGGCACCAGGGCGGAACCCCCCTACCCTGAAGGAGCTGTGGGCAACCTGAAAACGGCCCTCACTGTGCACCAGGCCTCTATCCTATATAATAAAAGGGTAATATGCAAATTGACCCTAACAGCAGAACAACTGGGAATGACTGGTCACTATGATACACACTGACCACCAGGGGACAGACGATCAATGCAGGAGATGCCCCCTGGGGTCAGTGCACTCCCACAGGTGAGGCCACAACATTAGTAACAAAGAAACAGAATTTCCAGAGGATGAGACTCAGAAATCAGGATTTTAAAAAGATTCCCAGGTGATTCTAACGTGCAGACAAGGTTGAGAACCACTGGTCTAAAATGTATAAATTGAGAAATCATCTATGCATATTGTGTAACTATTGTGGCAGTGTGGAATTGTATGATTGTTCCCAACTTCCTGGAAACAATCCCAGAGATGTACCCTTGGCCATGTACCATTCAGCACCGCCTGTAGGTGAAGAATATTTCCTTGCCCCATCATCTGACTAGGCTACATGTCTTGGTTGGGCCAGTGGGATGTGAGCAGAAGCAATAGTGTGCCAGTTCTGCAGTCACGTTAAAGGAGTCACATATGTCTGCCACCTCTTGCCCTTTTCCCTCTGCCATGATAATGGCATGCCCAAATAGGGCTGCTCTTTCAATCTGGGTCTTGGAAAGGGACTCAGAGCTAAAGCAGGGCCATGCAGCTCACCTATATCTGTCAACATGTAACATCTGCATGTGCAAGAAATAAATGTTTGAGATCATAGATTCTGGAATGTTAAAGTTGTTTGTTACTAGAGAAAAGCTGACTAAATAGGAGATAAATTTTTTTCTATGATTTATGTGTCTTGACATCATCTGATTTTTTAAAAATTCACTTTTATTATCGAAAGTATTACAGATGTCCCCTTGGTTTTTTTCCCATTGACCTCCTCCACCCTACCCCTCCCTCCTAGGCCTTCACCACGCTATTGTCTGTGTCTGTGGGCTATACATATATACATGTAAGTTCCTGGTTAATCACTCCCCATGCACCCCTCCAACCCCTCATCTGATTTTTTTAAAAACCATGTACATGCATTACTTTGATCAAATTTTTCTAATTTATTCTTTTTAAAAAGATGCCTTTCTTTAAACTTTTATACAATAGCATTCTAATTTATATAAAGTCTCTCATGAGTTGGACTAGCATGAATCAGTCCTCTGAGCCCAATCACATCTAGGAGCACTAAGAAATTTAATTTCCTGAACAGCAAAAGTGAGGCTCCATCAAAGTAATTGATACGGAATTTTTGGACTGGAACCCGGATTCTTTGTCTGCCGGGATCAAAGAATGAATCCAGGGACAGAAAGTGCTATAGCAAAGGTGGAGGTTTATTGAAGAATAAGTACAGACTCCCACATGGGGAGAGGAAAAGAGTCCCACAGAATGGACTCTCTTGTGGGGAGGGGTAAAGTGTCCCACTGAGTTCCCTTTTCCTATGACTTATAAAGGCTGCAGATCTTCCTGCCTTGATATCCCCTCTGATTGGTCACTATTCTCCCAGACTGGTTACTATAGTAACTCCTCTCAAAGGTTGTTGAACCTCACAAGGGACATGTGAGGTTCTCCCCCCTCCCTTCCCTATTGTTTTCCTATTCCCTTTGGGCTTTCTTCTTCTCCTTCTGAATGAAGGGCTTCCTTCTCTTTATTTTGTAAATATAGACCTTTTGCTGTTTCCAGCTCCCTCATTCTATGGAAATGTACCTGTTGCAGCTTTCCAGCTCCCCAATTCTATGGAAATATACCTTCTGCTGCTCTGTAGCCCTGTGCTCCTTCCATGGTCCCCTTAATTTCCAAAATTTCTAAAATTTCCTAAACCTGTCCTATCTTACACCTAAAACTCCTGTCTCATAATCATTTAACTACAATAGAGATATGCTCTAGCCAAAGATCTCTATCTACCTAAACTCGAAACTTTGCAGTGCAAGTTAAAAAGTAACTGAACATTTGAAAGAAACACTAATGCCCAGAAAATACTTATTGAGGAGCTCCAACTTTTCTAATATCATCATACACAAATAGATTTTTAAAATTTCTTTAACTGAACTTTATTCAATAATCATATTTCATAATACAGGTTTAATTATTCAATTTTAAAATGTTTTAACAAATAAAATGCAAAATTATGAGATATATTTTACCTAAATAAGATAAAAATGTATCAAGTTATTTGGAAATATTTAGCAGAAGATTTTAATAAATGTTTATTGAATAAAAGTATATGAATGAATTAATAAATGAATCAGCTACCATTTGGTTAACATGCTTGGCTTGAGAATTTGTTCCACTAATTGAAAATTTCCATATATTTACTAATAGAAAGCTTTTAGGAGATATCACAGGTTTATTTTAATTTCAATGTATCTATGGTCATTAACATACAATAATGCTGCTATACTTCTTTTTAAAATAAATTTAGCAAGGCCTTACCCACAACCATAAGTCTGAATTAATGAGGTTTTTATGGGAAGCCATAATTTCAACCAAAGACAAAATATACTAGTATATGCATTTTTGCATCACTACAGAATCTCTAAAGTAGGAACTAAAAAAAAATCATCTGTGTGAATAAACTGTTTACTGGTTTAAAAATAATTAAACCTACACTGTTGTTAAAGTATTCAGACCTTTCTCCAATAAAAGGGATCTCTGTAATATCAGAAAAGTGTCTAGAGCTCTAGGTTTCTAGTGGCTGGGGCCATATTTTTTATTTACCAGGTATTCCAGTACAAGTCTCCCAAGTATGCCTTCATGAGGGTGAAAGTGAGCAGCCCTTTTATGGCTCTACTGAGGATAAAGACCACATTCCCACCATGGCCTACAAAGCCCTGAAAGACCTCAACCTGCCAGCTGTGCTCACCTCATTTCACTACTTCCCTCCTTTTGCTCCAGCTACACTGGTATTCTTTAGTTCAGTTCCCCAGATGCTTCATGTACCTTCTTCCCTTGTAAGAGTCTTAGCACCTGCTGTTCTCTCCACCTGAAATAATCTCCATCCTCCACTTCCCTCTAACTCCTAGTTATTTCCTCCATATCATCCAGATCACAGCTTAAATATCACTTTTTCAGGAACACTGTCCCTAACTAGTTCACATCCCCCTATTATATGTTCTCATAACCCCCCATACTTTACTTTCACGGCATGTTTCACAGTTTATTTGTAATAATATTAATAAGCACCCCCCCACACACACTAGATTTAAACTCCATAAAGGTAGGAGCTTTTGGTCACCACTGTAGAACCAACACCTAGGCAAAGTGCCCAACTATTTAAAAGTACTAAGTATTACAAACACATGTGTTACATCCATGAAAATGAACTAACAAATTAATGTTCAAACAAACTCTGAAAGGGAAGTGGAAATGAGAGATCACACAGGATGCTGTGTGAGAGGGAAAAGATTTCCTTTCTTTCATGCATAAACCCAAATTGAGGAAAGAACATGTAAAGGAAGAACGATGACTCCTACTCTCTCTACACTTAGGAAACATATAATATACTCATGTGTTATTATGATATTTTATACATAATACACGCTTATAATATACCCTTCCTGGAGACTTAAGAACCTTAAATTAACCCATAGAGTTGAAAAACATTTTTAATTTCAGATCCATAATTTGAAAGAACATTCACAAAACAACAACCATTGTTTTCTTCATCTATATATATAAAAGCCTAAGCGACTGACCGACCAAACGACTGGTCAACCAGTCGCTATGACGTGCACTGACCACCAGGGGGCAGACGCTCAACACAGGAGCTTCCCCCTGGTGGTCAGTGCACTCCCACAGCCAACCTCCTGTGGCTGGCCAACCTCCTGCGGTCCCGCCCCCAGCCGGCTGCCCCTATAGGCCCCGAAAGCCAGCCAGGCTGACAGACCCCACCCATGCATGAATTCATGCACCAGGCCTCTAGTAATGAAATAATATGCCAAATTATTACACTCAAATGATCAGACTTATGAGATTTCTGGGTCCTTTCTGACAATAAGATTATTTAAACCCATTAACCTTGTTTCAAAAAAAAAAATGGGATTTTTATAGTTCTTGGTGTACATTTTACCAGTGTAATAATACACAAGTCAGTCATTTCTGTATAAACCAGGTGAGGAAACATTGCTAACTATAACCACCTAAGGAGTATAGATCACTTATTATTAGAAGGTGAACCTAAAGGAAGTACTAATTGATTTGGAAACAATGAGGGAAAACAAATTTAAAAAATGTATGTGCTTGAAGTTTTTATCAGCTGGTGACTTAAGGATTCTTTAACACAGTTTTGGCAATCATCCTGCTTGCTGCCATCCTTTGTATTCATACTAAATTTATTTGTTGAAATGAGTAATTCAGGTTCTGAATATTATTCCTTATAGAAAAATCTCTACATGTCCCTTTAAATGGTATATAAAGAAGCAAAAAAAAGAACAAATAAAACAAATAGAAATTTTGCTTGTTCATTTTAAATACTATGTACTCCACACAATTACTATCTTCTACCAGTTAAAATTATTTAACACCTTTTTGTGAGGGACAGGTTATACATTTCTGAGGTTTTAAACATTTTCCTTACTCTCTTCTCACATAATACTAGCAGGAGAAATGGAAAATAACATTTACTTGTAAGTATAAAAGAAATCTGAACACTGATTTAAGTAATTTTTTCATAAATGTATACTTTGGTACATATTATAAATGTCTCCTGAGTATTTTGAACAAATAACACTTCCCTTTTATAATAAAGATTATATCTTTATCTCTTACTTATAAATTCTAGTTCAATGATTTTAGTAGCTTCTGAATTATCTAATCTAGTATATCCATTTTGAATAACAAATGTAGCTGTGTAACAATATAAAAATATATAAACCACCTAAGTTCACATTTACACTGAAGTTCACAGACATGAACTTAAAAAACATGCAATTTCTCACCTTACATTCTTCCTGGCAAATATCTGTTCCAAAGTTAATGAAAATCCCACACATACAAAAATAGATGAAAAACTAAACAAGATTTTTCTTCCCATCAAGAAATGAATCCGTTTCTTCAAACCAAGCACATCTGTTAATGCATAAATGCAATCAGAGAAGAGGCAGTACTTTTCATACTATGTGACTGACCACATATTTAACCAATAAAAAGGCAATGTTCCTAGGATGTATTAAATAGGGGGAGGGTAAAAGGAGGAGCCTGGGACTGGTTCATTTGAAATCAGGATTTCAAAAAAAAACAGGGTGAAACCAATGGGTCTATTTAGGTTGTTTGATTAGTCATCTCAACAACAGATTATTAGGGAGCAGATTTTTTAGGGGAAATCTGCCAATTAAGCCCTGTTTAGAAATTGGCATTGTTTTGATACTCTAATTCAATAAGAATCTCATATTGTTTTGCAGGAAGCTATTAAATTCTCTTCAAAAAATCCAAGAACTATACATTATTACAAGCATTTTTTCAGGTAAATAAAAGTGAAAATCCTGAAATTTACCTGATTGTGTCCTAGTTCACACTTTCGTCCTGCATTTCATGACTCCATTTGCTAAGAAACATGAAATCCTATCTAATAAAAGAGTAATATGCAAATTAGCCATCACACCCTCACTCCATCAGTACGTCACAAAGATGTCTGCAGCCACGGAACTGGAGCGAGCAGGAGGCTTGCACTGCCCCCGGCGATGGAGGAAGCCAAGCTTCCCGCTTGCCCTGGCTTGCCCTGAGCTCGCTCAAGGCTACAAAGTTTCAATTATAGAAGATAAAGAAATCCCAGATACCTGCTTCCAGCCCGCATCCATGGCCAGCCTGAAAATGGCCCTCAGCTCCTCACCCAGGCTGGCCAGGCATCCCAGCGGGACTCCCCCCCCCTGAAGGGGGTTTGACCAGCTTGCAAACCGCCATCAGCCCCTCACCCAGGCTGGCCAGGCATCCCAGCGGGACTCCCCCCCCCTGAAGGGGGTTTGACCAGCTTGCAAACCGCCATCAGCCCCTCACCCAGGCTGGCCAGGCATCCCAGCGGGACTCCCCCCCCCTGAAGGGGGTTTGACCAGCTTGCAAACCGCCATCAGCCCCTCACCCAGGCTGGCCAGGCACCCCAGTGGAGACCCACACCCTGAAAGGGGTGTGACCAGCCTGCAAACAGCCCTCAACCCCTCACCCAGGCTGGCCAGGCACCCAAGCAGGACCCCCACCCTGATCCAGGACACCCTTCAGGGCAAACCAGCTGGCCCCCACCCATGCAACAGGCCTCTATCCTATATAATGAAAGGGTAATATGCAAACTGACCCTAACAGCAGAACGACTGGGAATGACTGGTCACTATGACACACACTGACCACCAGGGGGCAGACACTCAATGCAGGAGATGCCCCCTGGTGGTCAGTGCGCTCCCACAGGGGGAGCTCTGCTCAGCCACAAGCCAGGCTGACGGCTGCCAGCACAGCAGTGGTGGCAGGACACTCTCCCGCCTCCTTAGCAGCGCTAAGGATGTTCAACTGCAGCTTAGGTCTGCTCCCCGCTGGCAAGTGGACATCCCCTGAGGGCTCCCAGGCTGCCAGAGGGATGTCTGACTGCCCACTTAGGTCCGATCTCCCGGGGAGCGGGTCTAAGCCAGCAAGTGGACATCCCCCGAGGGGTCCCAGACTGTGAGAGGGCACAGACTGGGCTGAGGGACCCCCCTGAGTGCACAAATTTTTGTGCACTGGGCCTCTAGTATAATAGTAAAGAACACTGGCTTTGGAGTCGGACAGCACTCCAGGGCATTCCCAGCTCCAGTCCTGACTAGTTATGTGATACTGGGAAAGTTCCTTTTCCTCCTGAGCCTAGTGTTCCCATCTGCAGGTGGGGACAAAAGTAGTTAACTCAAAGAATCATTGTGAAGACTAAATGAGGCCCTGAATAGCCATATCTATCTTGAAAAAAGAAGAACTAAGTTGAATGCATCACACGTCCTGATTTCAAAAATACATTACAAAGCTAGAGCAATTAAAACAGTACACTACTGGCACAAAGACAGGTATTTAGACCAAAGGAACAAAACAGAAAGCCTAGAAATAAGAGTGCCAAGAACACACAATGGAGAAAAGACAGTCTCTTCAAAAATGATGCTAGGAAAACTTAATATTTACATGCGAAAGAATGATATTGGATTCTTATTCATACCTTACACAAAAATCAAATAAAAATGGATTAAATACTTAAAACCTAGAAGAAAGCATAGGGGCAAAGCTTCATGACATTGGCCTTGGCAATAATTTCATGACTATGACACCAAAGTACAGGCACTAAAAACAAAAAGAGACAACTGGAACTACATCAAACTAAAAAGCTTCTGCACAGCAAAGGAAACAATCAACAGAGTGAAAAGACAACCTATCAAATGGGAGAAAATATTTTCAAAAGGATTATATGGGAAAATGCCTGGTAAAGGATTAATTCTAAAATATATAAGGAACAAATCAATAGCAAAAATAATAAATAAATAATTCAATTTTAAAAAGGGCCTTAAAACTTGAATAGGCATTTCTCCAAAGAAGACATACAAATAGCCAACATGTATATGAAAAGGTGCCCAAAAGGGGGAAATGAAATTAAAACCACAAAGGGATATTACCTCATACCTGTTAGGATGGCTATTATCAAAAGAACAAAAGACAAGTGTTGGCAAAGATGTGGAGAAACTGGAACTCTTGGACACCTTTGGTGGGAATATAAAATGGTGCAGTTCCTATGGAAAATAATACGGCGATTCTTCAAAAAATTAAAAATAGAACTACCATAGAATCCAGTAATTGCACTTATAAGTAATTATCCAAAAGAACTGAAATCAGAATCTCAAAGAGATATGAGCACTCCCATGTTTACTGCAGCACTATTCACAATAGCAAAGATTTAGAAATAACTGAAGTGTCTGTTGATGGATGATGGGATAAAGAATATGTGGCATACACATACAATGGATATTATTCAGCCTTTTAAAAAAAGGGGAAATTTTTTTAAATGGTGGAATTCTGTGACAGCATGGATGAACCTTCAGGGCACTATGCTAAGTGAAATAAGCCAGTCACAAACAGTACATAATTCCATTTATATGAGGTATCTAAAATAGTGAAATTCAGCCCTAACCGGTTTTGCTCAGTGGATACAGCATTGGCCTGAGGATGGAAGGGTCCCAGGTTCAATTCTGGTCAAGGACATGTACCTTGGTTGCAGGCACATCCCCAGTAGGAGGTGTGCGGGAGGCAGTTGATAGATGTTTCTAACTCTCTATCCCTCTCCCTTCCTCTCTGTAAAAAATCAATAAAATATATATTTTTTAAAACTATAAAAATAAAATAAAATAATCAAATTCATAGAATCAAAGAGTGGAATGGTGTTTTCCATGGGGTGGGGCAGAAGCTGATAGGAAGTTGTTAATAAACAGACAGAAAGTTAAGCAAGACAAATAAATTATAGAGATCTGCAGTACAAGATGGTACCTATAGTTAATAGCACTGTATTGTATACTTAAAACTTTGTTAAGAGGGTGGATCTTATGTTAGGTGTTCCTACTATAATCAAATAAAATTTTAATAAATAATAAATAAATAAATAAATACCAGAGATAGCCCAGCTGGTGTGGCTCAGTGGTTAAGCATTGAGCATCGACCCATGAACCAGTCATGGTTTGACTCCCAGTCAGGACACATGCCCAGGTTTTGGGCTCAATCCTCAGTAGGGGGCATGCAGGAGGCAGCCAATCGATGATTCTCTCACATCATTAATGTTTCTATCTCTCTCTCCCTCTCCCTTCCATGACTAGTTAAATAAAGAATATCTATTGTTATTCCTTGTCAGCCTCCAATCCCTCCAGCCCCCACCTAAAAATCATTAAAAACAACAACAACAACATCTCTAAGGTTTTACATTAAAAATAAATTTTAAATGCCACAATAAAGAAAATCCTCCAAAATGAAAGTGTCAGCATTTTAGGCACTTAAGAACCTTGAAGTCTTTAAAGGCCAAATATTGATAGCTGAAAGGTGCTATTTGTAAGTGACATTTCAGAGATGATGGGTTGTAGGAAAGCAATCCATCCTTACTACTACTACTACACACACACACACACACACACACACACACACACACACACACATTCTCCCAACATGGCTCTTGGAAGCCATATAGAAAATGAGGAGTTAAAGGATGATAACTTGGGGACCTGGGAGAATGCAGAAATAAGGAAGTTACTAATAAAAATTATCAATGTGGTCTTTCCATGCCCTATGTTATTCCTACTTCCCATCTTATTCCCTGTTTTTCTCAGTTCTTTTATTTCACCCAACTTCCCCCTTTCATCTCTCCTTTGACCTTTCCATCCTTTTCCTCATTTTGTGAAATTTCAGGTAGCAAGACAAATCAGGAATTAAGTCTTAGGAAAAGTTGCTAGATAAAAATACAGAACATCCAGTTAAATATGAGTTTCAGATAAACAATAATAATAAGTAATTTTCAGGTAATGAATAACAATAATTTTAATAATAAATATATCCCATGAAATATTTGGGGTATGCTATACTAAATAAACATTTGTTATCTAAAAATTAAATTTAACTGGACATCTTGTATTTTTTATCTGCTAAATCAAGCAATCCTAGTCTTAGGGATTCAAGTTTTTTGTTTGTTTTTTTAAATATATTTTTATTGATTTCAGAGAGGAAGGGAGAGGGAAAGATAGAAACATCAATGATGAGAGAGAATCACTGATCGCCTGCCTCCTACATGCCGCCCACTGGGGGATCCAACCCACAACCTAGGCAAATATTTCCCCCACAAAATCATAATTTCCTATGTGCCCTTGACCGGAATTAAATCCAGGACCCTCAGTCCACAGTCCAAAGCTCTATCCACTGAGCCAAACCAGCTAGGGCTTAGGGACTCAAGTTTTAATGTGCATACAAATCACATGAGATTTTGTTAAAATGCAAATCTTATTCAGGAGGTCTGGGAGGCTCGGAGGGGGGCATTTATGAGCTTCTTTGCTTCTAACAAGCTTC